TATAATACATACCACTGAAGGAGTAGAATATTTTGCATTTACAGGGTTAAATAGGGGAAGGGGGATTTTCACCTCTTAAAACCCATCTTCCCCTATTAGATGGTTGTATATACACAAAGAAAGAAGGTCCTGTTGTAGTTCTTTTTTCTCTTCTCTATTAATAATTCTAAGAAAATCCTTGGATTACCATGAAAAAGAGGAGGAGGGCAGATGGAGAATGGGTAGAGGTGAAGGGTTTGAGATTTAGTTTTTGTATCTCTATCTCTCTCCCCAGACCCCACTGCACAAGGCTATCGTTGGTGTCGCAATGTTGGTAAGTACGTATGTATGTGTGTGTTTTTGCAAAGTTCGCCAAAGTTCAAAGTCTGTTTATTGTCAGTTGCTATGTTGGTTCCTGGGTTTTCTTTAGCCGCCACTAGCCATTGATAAGGTGCAGGGCTGAAAGAAACATTGCGACAACAGTTTACTATTCCTACACTTAGACTATCCACTCTTACACATCACTCTACTTTTATTTTCACTGAAATAAGTGTGAGTAGGATGCTCTGCGATGGAGTGGAGTAGGCAATGTATAGTCTACCATAGCTACGAACGGAGTAAAGTAAGCATGTTACCAGCTGCCACGGGTTTTCACTGCCGCACAAGCATCATTGACAGAATGAAGCCAGCTGATAGTGTCAAGATTGAGCGGCAAACGAAACTTTCTCTTTACTGGTTACCTTGCTCGCAATATTCTGTGGATTTATAACTTAATTTTGTTTGCAACTTTCTTGCTGGTACAAGTTATTCCCACTACAACAGTCTGTATTATACATACACTAGTGTGAGTGTGAAGAATGCTTGCTCCATTCTCAATTTGGTTGTTGCAATTCATGGATGTTGTACTGGGACATCAGTGCCTTCTCCAACACGCCACAGGCAGCTGTCACGGTCTTTGTGCCTGCTGCAGCCACATACATACATCTATGATGCAGCTGGCTTACTGTCCCTCCCTTTGTTCCCATGGCGACAGACTACACGCACACACGTCCGTATTTGTGTGTGTAGTTGATCGACAAGAGAAAGCAAGCAGTTTTATTGGCTTCTTCTTGTTCATTGTCGTCCTCCTTACTGCTACAGATATTTCCATGTGTATCCGCCCTCCAGCCAGAGACATTGTGCAAAACAAATTCAAATTTCGTGATTTTTTGAAATCAGAATAACTTGATTTTTAGTGTTTCGTGTACCTGGCTTCATTTGGTCCCCCTCCCCCCCTCTCCCCCTCCTCGTCTCCAGGAGCCGGGAGACAAGTTTGAGAGCGAGGAACACATCAAAGACAATCAGTGTGACATCATCAAGGTCCTGGTTGCCCACGGCGCCAGTCTCTCGGCAACAGACGAGGCGGGGCTCTCTGCCAAGGACCTGGCTCACGACCAAGACTTCTTTGAGGCCGTCGACCTTCTAGAGGAGCTGGAAGGTGAGGGAGACTGTGTTTGTATGAAGCACCGGAAAATGGACTCTCTGTTTTTTCGTGCAGTGATAATAGACAAGGAGACAAGGAAGAGAGAGAGAAAGCAGAGGTTGAGAGGTTAACTCCATACTTACTACCTACACACATAATATGTAGTGTTTGGTACAATGTCTCTTACTTTGATACAGTGAATATTGATTTCCAGGAATTTTTTGTCTGTCGAGTCATTGCGTATTCATTGTTTACCCACCTGTATATCTGTGCAAAAATAACCAACTAATCACCTCAGTCCCTTTTTTACATACACTCTCTCTCTCTCTCTCTTCCCCTCTTTCTCTCTCTCTTTCTCTCTCTCCTCCCCTCTGTCCAGATCTCTACGCAGCATGTGAAGCAGGAGAGGTGGCTAAAGTCAGGGAACACCTGCAAGTAATGCCAGAGGCTATCAATGAGTTCATTCAAGACGGGAATAACCTACTAATGTGGTGAGCCAATCACACTACTTTCACTGCTGTATTCCCGCATTTCTGCATAGACATTGCGACTGCGTGCGTGAGTGGTCAGAACACTGACCTAATATTATTCACTCTCCACCATTTGCAGGGTGTTTTTGTCAAGTACATATTATAGTACACAGACACACACATGGAGTAGGCCTAAAGATTTCAAAGATGTAATAATGTTCCTCCCATTCACGGCCTCTACACCAAACATTTATACTGCATACCTGTCCTTTGAGGCCTGTGTACACAATGAGGTAATGGGTGTAGGCACTTTGGGCCTCCATTATTGGTCCAGGCTTACTTGTGTGCGAAATATTATACAGTGTATATATGTTTTGTACAAAGTACAATGCAACAGCATACTTATTGTAGCTATACATTGATGAATGTATTCCATCAGTGCTGCGGACAAAGGCTACCTCGAAATGGTGGAGTATCTCCTTGACAACCGAGCCATCGCCGTTGCGAACCCCATCACCAACCTCACCGCGCTCCACATGGCTTGTCGTCACGGACACACCGACATTGCCATCGCCTTGCTCAATCGTCTCCCTGCGCTACTCGCAATAGACGACTCGCCAGACGAGACTTCTCTCCACATTGCGGCACGAGAGGGCCACGTCGAGATCGTTCGAAACCTCCTGGCGGTCGCCGCCCGGGCGGAGCAACTCAAATCGCTGGAGAGGTCCGATTCCGGTTCCGGGAAATCCGATATTTTGGTACCACTGTATCGGTCTGGGACGGAGCGTGTGCAGAAGAACCTGGAGCTTCTGGATTCACTGGGTGAGGTGACGGTGGATATAATGGCCCCGTCTCTCGGTGACAGGAGAACTCCGCTGCATGAGGCATCGGCCGCGGGGCACGTGGAGGTGGTGAGGCTGATCCTGGAGTTCATGAAGGAGTGTTACTCCGGAGTAGGGAGTGGGGGAGGGGCGGAGGGGAGACTGATGAGGTTATCGTCGCGCACCGATGGTGAGGGAAGCCAGTCTGGGAGCCCGGTAAAGTTGGACCACTACCATTCTCCTCGGAGACCAAACCCTTCGTCTTCGTCGGGGAAGAGGCCCAGACCGGTGCCTGGCGTGGACCAGATGACGAGACGAGGTAAAACTGCATTCCACGAAGCGGCAAAGTACGGCCATTTCGAGACGATGACTGCGCTACTAGAGGCCGGGGCCGACATCAATGCCTACATGCGCCCCGACCTGGACACCACTATCAACGTCGACCTGACTGCTCTGGTTCAAGCGTGCCTCATGAACCAGCCTGGCATCGTCCGTTTCCTACTCAGAAATGGAGCCACAGACACCAGACTAAAGGCCCTCTCACGCTCACTTCGACAGTCTCACAACGTAGTCGCCGGTCTCCTGCTGTGCTATAATGGAGGGGCACACCCGATAATCGAGGAGGCAGTGGCCCGCCCAACAAACGATGGAGAAAAGTCCAGACTGGGCAAGATCGGCGTCGCATGGAACAGCAAAAAGCTTGCCTGCATACACGAGAGCTGGTTACAGACTGTGTGTATGGAGGTCCCTGTGAATGGGAACAGGACACCGGTCATTGCACATCTCGACATCTCTTCCAACGAGCTGAGAGAAATTCCCATTGAGGTGTTCCAATTAGTGCACCTCACACGATTGGACGCCAGTCGGAACAAGATAACGAGTCTCCCTGTATCCCACGGCAACGAGCGGGGTTGGGACTGCCCACGATTATCGGAGCTGGACATCAGTTCGAACCGACTAACAACGATCCCCTCCCTCCTCTTCCTCCTCCCGGAGCTGAAGGAGTTAAACGCCAACGACAACGAGGTCACAGAGGTCGACATATCCGTGTGGACTGCACCCAAACTAAACAAACTCTTTCTCAATCGAAACAGACTCAAAGACTTTCCGTCTTCCTCCGAATTAACCCCTTCATCACTACCGCAGTCTCCGCCCACAGGGAGAGGGTGCCAGGAATCAGGTTACCAATCTGGCGCGCCGATCTCCTCCTCTTCCTCCCTTCTCCTCTCCTCGCAGGCCGCCAAGTCACTCACAGAGTCGCAAACCCATTTGACGAGAGTCTCAGCGCGTGGATAAACCGCCGCCGGGGGTCACGACCCAACACCGCCACATTTGGCCGAGACCCGCGGAGGATGAGTGTCGGATCACTGCAGACCTCAATCATGAGCTGGCGGTTCAAAAACTTTCAAGATTCGAACTTTGCGGTCGACGAACTCGACGATTTGGAGAGCGAGTCCTCCGAGGAAGGGAGCGAGGGAGGTGCTCTAGAGCACATCGACCTCTCGCGTAACTCTCTGACCTCTGTACCCGCGGGGCTCAGCTGCCTGGCCCCGAAACTCCAAAAACTAAACTTGTCTCACAATCGTATTCGCGGTCTCGGGCAACTCAGCGAGTTCCCTCCCGGCCTGGAAATGCTCGACGCTTCAAACAACGAGCTGTGCTCAGCCATCACGGAGTCAGCATCGCTATCGGTGATGACCCCCTGTGCTCGGCGCTCCCTCCCTCTCTCCTCGGGTGGAAACGCGTCGTTCCTCGAGAGCGTCGTCTCCCCAACCTCCTCCCTCCGTCCCTGCGGCCACAGGCTCCATAGAAACCTTCAAAAGTTGTCGACGATTCGGTTGAGTCGGAACCAACTGGTGGACGTGCAGTTGTTTCGGACCGTCAGTCGACCCAAAGTGGGCGATCTCACCGCGTCGCTGGAGGAGACGTCGACTCGCGATGCTCAGAGACAGCCGTCGAACGATCCGTTTGCCATTCGAGTTGCCCCGGGGAAGCCCGCGGGAACGCCTTGGAAAGAGGCACTGAGCAAATCGATGAGCGGACCTCACTCACAAGACGTGACAAGCTCGCCGCCCATGCGTGGAGGGAAACACCCGGCAAAGAGGGTGGGGTCTGGGGACACCGTGCATCGCGGAGCCGGGGGTTCAAATTCATCCAACAGCGGGGGTTCGGGTGACGATGGGGGGCTGCAGTCCCCATCTCACACCATCCTCTCCCCCCTCTTCCCCATGCTGTCGACGCTGGAACTAGCCCAGAACAATCTCCACAGCGTTCCGGTCAACATACACCTGGTGAGCACTCTGGCGTGCTTCGTTCTCAGCCAGAACCCCATCGAGAGTCTCCCGTTGGAGCTGAGCAACCTCGAACATCTCTGGAACCTCGAGTACGAGGGCTGCAACCTCATCTCTCCTCCTAAACAAGACCTCGACAAGTTCAGACTGGCCGCCGACAAGCTTCTCTACATGAAGTCACTCCTACACGAGTAAGTCTACGTTTAGGAGCTTAGTGCAAGCAGGAAAACTTTGAAGGGCATGTACGTATGTATGTAAAAGTTGATATCCTACAAATGGCGTATTTATGACTATACCCTTTAATATACCAATTTGTGAATTTTTCGTCCTTTCCTCAAAAATTCCCATCGTGGTAACAAACCTAATTTTTTAAACCGCCTATACTGTAGGTGATGATTATTATAATGTTTTACTCTCTTTTTCCCGATAACCCCTTTTTTTTCTCTCACAGTGCAAAGCCGAACGAGAGTCTGAAGCTGATGTTGGTCGGTCTGCAGAAGATGGGAAAGACGACGCTACTGTCGAAACTGAGGGAGGTGAACGAATCAACCACAGCGGCCTCCACCTTCAACGAGAGAGTGAAGGGAGAGGAGAAGGAGAGAGGAGGAGGCAGAGGGAAGAAAAAAGGAGGTGAGATAATATATGTAAATTAGTTTTTCATGTGCATTTCCAAGAATTATTTTGCACTGCACTCTCCAGCTATAGTCAAGGTTTTTCAGAATATTAGCCTGTCCTTCCTACCACCTGCTTGCTGAGGTTTAGGCCACCTTATTTTCCTGTTTGGATGCGCTCCAGCTACAGAGTCGATGCGTGCACAGTTTGACTCTCCTTTTCCCTCTCATGCTAAAATTACATTTAATTCTGTTTCTCTCTCCTCGTTGTCTTCTACCAGAGATCCTGTCAACAGTGGGGGTAGATCTGGGAATATGGAGGTACCGCAAGGACCTGGAGCCTGACCTGAGAGGCAAGAAGAAGTCGGGAAAGACCATGAAATCCGTCACGTTCTTCACCTGGGATTTCGGGGGTCAGGAGGAGTATTACGTAACCCACCAGTGTTTCCTGTCTACTCGCTCCCTGTATCTCGTGGTCTGGGACGTGGAGGAGGGGGAGGAGGGGATCGAGCAACTGGGCCCCTGGCTACACAACATACAGGTGATGTCCCATCCACCGATGGGTTGGACAATCTGCGGATTGAGCACCTAGGCATGGGCAAGAGGATTATTACTTTGCATTGCAGTGAAATGTGGTAGAGTTTGAGTCTCAGGCAGCTGCACTTACCTCAATCCACACAACCACTGTATAGTGTAGGAGACTTGCAGACTTCTAAGAAAAACTGCAAAACGCTCGGAAATGTTTTATCCTTATTGCTATATGTATGTATGGAGCAGATGTATATAGATCTAACGTTGTACGTACTGTAAATTAACCTTTTCCCTCTCCCTACATACTAGGCGAGGGCTCCAGGGTCGCCGGTGGTGATAGTGGGAACTCACATGGACAGAGTTAGGGGAGAGGAGAGGGACAGGAGGAAGGTTGAACTGTCCAACATCATCAAAGACAAGTATCTGGTCAGTTCGCATAAAGCTCGGTTTACCTTATTAATGCAACGTGCCCTATGGAACTGTATAGCAGAGGTGAAGTTCTTCACTGCCTTAACTGGGAGTTGGGATGGCCTTTGTTTTTTGTTTGGGTGGTGCAAGTTAACTAGCAGTGAAGTAGTGTATGCCACTCTTCCGCCCAAGTTTCAGTAAATCTTTGTAGGTAGGTAATGTCCCTCGTCTTCCACTAGAAACCTTGCTGTTCAATCCAAAGACTTCTACGTACCTCTCTCCTTTCCTCTCCACCTTCACCCATGGTTGCAGGTTGGTAGAGGCCCCCAACAGCAGAGGGAACTGGGACTGCCAAAGATCAGAGATGTAGTCTACGTGGCGTGTCCTACGTCCGGACGAGAAGAAGGCGTGGCAGACCTCCGGAAGGCACTCTACGACATCGCCTTCTCCCTCACACTCCCCAAAGGTCTGTATGTACGTACATTGACTTTGCTACATGTACTCTTGGATATACATTTGAGAAAGACGTATCAACTAACGTAGACTGAAAGAACTGTAGGTGGTAAATTTAGAAATGTTAGAGCTAAGTGCGTTCTATAATGCAGGTACAAGGTATCGGATATTTTCGAATCGAAATTTTTTTTTTGAGAAGTCCATTCTTAATAGGTAATGATCTGTGTGTGCATTATAGCTAGGAAAAGACAGCACTTGATCTTTAACTTAACTTTTCTTCCTTTCTGTCAATTCTCCTCCTCCTCCTCACCCAGTGGGTCATACCGCAGGCACCAAAACCAAGCTACTGGAGCAGCCCATCCCCGCCTCCTTCCTCAAACTGGAGGAAAGGGTGAGGGTGCTAGCCACGGACCTAAAGAGACAGGCTGAACCACCACTCCTCAAAGAGAACAAGTTCAGAGAAGAGACGAGTGACATCATCGCTAATCCGAGAGAATTAGACCAGGCCGTCACTTTCTTACATGAAAACGGTGAGTTGGGGATCAGTGAATTCAAAACTACTGAGATATTGAGAGATTTGAGGGGTATAGATGAGATATACGATATAATACGTATGTAAATAGGGACAACGACATTGGATGAGATATGAATAGGGACCAAAATCGAGATATATTTTATAATATACGAATCTCTCTCTCTCTCTCTCCTCTCTCTCAGGAGTGATGCTGCACTACGCCACACCAGCGCTGAGCCACCTCTACTTCGTGGACCCTCAGTGGCTGTGTGACATGCTGGCCCACGTCGTCACTGTGCCTGAAGTCAACAGCTCTCATCAGGAAAGACGCGTCTGTCTGCTTTCACATGTCCTCTACTCCAGTGTGCCAATGGTTGGCATGTGACTACCCTATGTCCGCATGCGGATGATTGCTAGTAGTGTGTGTCAGTCTGCAGGGCTTGACCGGCGGATACTCCATCTGCAGGGCTTTGGCCCGTGATGCTCAGTCTGCCCACTTTTCAGCTGCGGGGATTGGACACGGAGGATGCATCCGTTCTGCACACTGTTTTCTAGCTCGGCGGGCGGCATTGGAGCGAGGAATCTCGTCCATCTGCACCACCACTTCAGTGATCGTCTGACTGTCTGCGGCGCTGCTTGCTCTTTCATCATGTAGTGCCATTCGCTGTGAATGATAAACTACGAGGTATGATAGAAAGGCAAAGCCACAGCACAATACAAATCAACTATCACCTCAGGACAGCTCTTTTTTCCAAGTGAAAAATAAAGAGCTGCTGGTCGGGTTTGACTCACGACACTGCTGCAGTCTAGGCGAGCGCTCTACCACCGAGCGTCTATGTACATTCACATACGTACAATAATTATGCCGTACATAATCCTCCACACAGGTCCAGATGCAGGGGATTCTGCGTACTGTCAGTCCTGGCCCACGTCTTCAAAGGCAAGCACTCCCCCAGGAACACCGTCGGAGTACATCGAACTCCTCGGTAAGTCAGAAGTGGCTCTAGTCCTCGATCGTCATCGTCTCCTAGTCCCTCCTCTTCCCCTGCGCCCTCGCTACACCATCCACGCATTCGGCAACGTCTTCCCTCGTCCCAACAATCCCTCACGTTCTCTCCCGTCACCCAAACGCTCCAAACTATTCTCTGCCCCCTCGTCTTTCATGTGAGGGGTCCAAAAATCACTCCCCTCAATTCGCCCCCAATTCCCTCTCCACTACACCCACCTCTAGCGTACAGAGCACATTTCCGACGAACTCTTTAGAACGGGGCTGATTCTGAGGAGATTCTACTTCATGACGTACGTCTGACGGCTTCTGGCCTCGACTCATTTCCCGGTTTCTCACGTGTTCAGCGTTGTGGGCGTGGTTCTCCGAGCGCTGGTCACACTGAGCAGGAAGTGAGGGAGAGGGTCGGGCGCGTGACGACAGGGCGAAACTAGAGCAAGGCAGCGGTCGGCCTGGAATGGACGTACTGGAAAACGGAATCGAACTCTGTACAAAGGGATGAGTCTTCTCAGGGTGACCGAATCTGGCCGAGGATATTCGAAGATTGCGAGTCCAGCCCCTCGATTTTCGAGCAATCTTTGCACAGTACCCATGAAACCGTTGGAGGCTGTCAAGACTGTCGTTTGAACTAAACCACAGTGGATTCCGGTTCCAGAGGTTCCCAGACTCCGAACCACGGAATCGAGATATTGGTACCAGACACCGTCTGTCCGGCAGTGTTGAGGAGGGAGACTGAGGAGGGAGATGGAGGAGAGAGGGAGAGGGTGTGGATGAGTGCAGGGTTGCTGACTCAGGCCGTCGATTTCATAGACGCACTACTGGAGGACTGGTATCCTGGACTCGGGGCCAGGGAGGGGAACACCACAGTCGATTCAATCCCGTACGTCAATAGAATCATCCCGTGCCCGTTCTGCGTTAACGGGGCCTGCGTATCGGACCCAGTGGACGACAGAGTCGGTCGCGAAGCTTCTCCCCCCTTCCCCGTACGCCCCTCGCAGCCGCTCCTCCTTCTCCCCCTCTCCCGCCCCCCGCGAGACCAGATTTTCCCCCGGAACAACGCCCCCTCAGCCCCCCGCGTTCTCAGTGTCTGAACCCCACCGGCGCAGTCGCACTCCCGATCATTCAGACCTGGACCACTCACCCTCACAGCATCGTCGCTACCGTGCAATGAACATTCCCCGCTCGCCACGCCCCCTCTCATCTCGCCAGAACTCTCACGATCCCTCGTACACCGACAAAACTCCTCCGTTGTTGGAGAAGGGGCGTGGTTCTGAGGGTCACCCCAGAGGTCGCTCTCTCTCATCTCCGCTGTCACGGCGACTCCGAGACGCCCTGGGTGCACCCACCAGTCGCCGTGACAACAAGAGCCAGGAGGACCTGGTGGAGTATGCCAACGAAGGTCAGTATTCTTCCTCAGGATTTGTCAGGATTCCTTAGTATACTTGCTCAGTAATTGGTCTGTATACTTCCTGACCTCTATTTACCGTACTTTCATCAGAGAATTATTTTTGTGGAAAGGTAATGTATGTAATTAAAATGTTATGATCACTAATGGTAATTGCCTCTCTAGTTTTGTCACCATCTTAGCTCAGTACATTTCCTTGAGATATTTTGTTCCGTAAATTATATCAGGATATTGTCAGTAAACTGGTCAGGATACCCCACTCCCTCTTCCTCAGCAGTAGAACCAATGACAGGGGACAAAGAGCTGAAGCTGGCGTCCAAGTTTGGGTTCATGATTGAGTCTTGCATCATGGCCGCTCGAGCCAGAGAGGACCTCGTATGCCCCGCCCACCAGACACACCCACTTCCTGTCAGAGACGTTGCTCCAGACGTGGTGTTTGCAGACCTGCCCACCCAGTTTCTGTTGGACAGTGAGTGTGTGGACAAGGGAGTCTACGTCGACCACGGATCTTTCGGTGACATTTACCGCGGCACCGTCTACCCCACTCCTACCTCCACCGTACGTATCATTACATCATAGTGACGTAATGCAGTGTGCTGTGTCAGGTTTTTGAGTTTAGCATAGTTTTTTCTAGTGCAGCGTTTCATCGCTTTTCGGATTTTTTATTATGAGTCTCAAAAGGTTTAGTCATAATTATGTATAATATGTGTACCACTAAAGACTGTCATAGTGATGTAATGCGATGACATCATTGTTAATTATGTAATGTGCAGGACGACGAGGGGAGGGAAGTGGCACTCAAGATCGACAGACTCGACTCTAAAAAGTGCACACCCGAAACTGCCACCAAGTCTTACATTGAGGTAGACACCAGATTGAGCCAAGAATTTTCTGCATTCCTAAATAACGTTAAATTTTAACCAGAGTCCAAATTTGGCAATGGTTGATCCGTTCATAGAAAACATGCCAATTACCAGAATGACTCGATTGACGAGCATCTGTTCCCCCCACTGCTGCAGGTGAGAGCTGAGGTATCTCTCCTCCACAAACTCCACCATCCCCACGTCATAGACTTCATTGGAGTCGTCCTCCAGCCCCTCTGCTTCAGCCTGGAGTGGGCCTGCGGTGGCTCACTCCACTCAAAGCTGGGCAAGTACCGCAAGGTGGACGCCAGGATTGGACCTCACGCTCTGCAACAGACCGCTCTCCAGGTACACTGCCCTTTCTCATCCACAAAAACTCTTCTCAATCACCAAGTTTAACCACTATCTGTGATTATTGTTTCTTTGAAGATCTGTGCATCATGTAGCTCCCCTCCTCTGTGCAGGTGGCTCGCGGTCTGTCTTACCTCCACCAACAGAAGGTCGTGTATTATGACCTCAAGTCCCCCAACGTTCTGGTCTTCCAGTTCCCTTCTCCTCAGCAGAGTATGCAGATGGCCGCTCAACAAGTACGCGTATTTAGTGGTCGTTGGAGAGCCCCTTTGTAACAGTCTTTGGCGACATACAGATATAAAGTATAAATAGTTTTCATCCGGCGGAATATCCCGCTATATTACTTCACTTACTCTGAGTGCATATGTGTATGCAAAAAATTGGTCAGACTTTAAATTTAAGCAAATGGTACATCTCTCTCTCTCTCGTTCAGCTCTCCCCAGAGGATGTCCCTCCAATCTACCTGAAGATTGCAGACCTCGGTATCAGCAGGATCATGTCCCCCGGGGGAACCATGGGATTCAAAGGTTCCCCCGGGTTTATGGCCCCCGAGATTCTCAAATATGTTGGCATGGAGGCCGTCACTGAGAAGGTAATAATTAACTCTGTCTTACTATAGATTGCCTGAGAACATTTCAAAGAAGAAAGAAAAGAAAAAGTTTTTTACTAATTTTTTTTTGGGAGCGAGTTAGTGCGTGGTTCCCTTGCTATAGCAACGTGTGGAGTACGTGAATTTTACGATGACTCTCGTAATTAGTGGGTGTGGTCTGTTTTCGCAGGTGGACATCTACTCGTTTGGAATGTTCATGTACGAACTGATATCTCTGTACTTTCCCTTCGAGAAGCAGAACCTCATGAGCTCTCAGATAGAGAACCTGGTGGTGGAGGGAGAGAGACACCTCATCCAGAACAGAGTGAGTGTGTGGACCCTGCTATTCCCCGAGTCCCTCGTGACAAGCGGAGGTAGAGAGGAAGCAGACGGCGCGGGAGGAAAGAGCGAAGCAGGAGAAGGAGAAGGAGAAGGCGGAACGAAGGAGGAGAGGAAGGAGAAGAAGGCGAGGAAGAGGAGAGGACAGGAGGAGGAGAAGGACGGACAGGAGGCGGAGAAGGAGGAGACGGAGGGAAGGAGGAGAGTAGAGGAAAGCAGGAAGGAGGAGAAGGAGGAGAGGAGGAGAGGAAAGAGGACGGAGAAGAGGAGCGAGGAGAGAGCAGGAGGCGAAGGAGGAGACGGAGCGCAGTGAGGAGAAGGCGGAGAAGGCGGAAAGCCGGGAGAGGAGGAGAAGGAGGGAGGACGGCGGGAGGAAGGAGCGAAGGACGGAGGAAGGAGAAGGAAGGAGAGGAGGGAGAGTAGAGGCGGCGATGCGGCGACTGCAGGCGCTGTCCTTACTAGTCAGGTCTGCCTGTCGCAGTATTCTTATCTTCCTCTCTTCTCGTCTTTTCTCGTCCTATCTATTATATGCTAATGCTCTCGTATTTAAGCTTCTCCTACACTCTCAAATGTTAAAGTACCAAGACCCTAGAGTTCTAACTGAAATCCATTTCGCACATATACACATATACTAAACAACATGGATTGGGTATGAGAGACTGAATGTCTCGTCCAAATTCAGTATGATGTGCTCAGAAACATAGCTACACGTACATAGTAAAGTCTCGCATACAAATATTCTGCTGCGTATGCTTGGCCTTAACCTCTCTCCCTGCTCTCTGCCCAGGAGCTAAGTAACCCAATTCTCTATCTGGACATCATGAGGTGGTGCTGGCAGCAGGATTTCCGGAGCCGGCCGTCTGCCGATCATCTCATCGACGTCCTCTCTAACGAGGGGGTTCCCCGTCTGATGGAGGCCGTTAGTCTCCATGACAGCAGTGACATCACCGCCAACGCCCTTTGTATCTTCCTATTGAGCAGAGTGCATCAGAGGTTGGTAGGCATGATTCATTCATATGTGTCAATTGTATAGCCAGAAATTAAGAGGTAGAAGCCAGATATATTTTGTTGAGAGGTATAAACCATTCATCTTTTAAAAATGTAACATTTTGCAGGAACAGGAGTACGGGATAACGTCACCTTGTACCTCGCACCCGTTTGTTGCCCGCGGCGACCTCCAGGAGGACGTCTGGCTGGGATTGTATTCAGGAGACAGCAGAAGAGGAGGAGATGGAGGGAGAGGGAGGGAGAAGGGGAGGGAGGGGGAGGAGAAAAGGAGGGAGAGAGCCAAGTCTGTGTCATAAACTTCAAGGGGAAAGCAAGTTTCTCGACACAAGTGAGTCTGTGCTCTGTTAGTGTATTGCACGAGATAGCTTTTCAAAGTTAAACGTATAATATAGCACGTGTTGTATACCTTGTGCTTTGCTTTGCAATTTTATGATTAATTCTCGCTCAACCACTAATATGAGCATGGAAAATGACCAGTGGTAATCTGAGCCATTTCACACATATGTAAGGCTGATGCATAGTTGTATGGGTACGTGCGTACGTGATGTTTCTCACCCTCTCTCCCCATTTGCCCCCTCTTCAATCCCAGATGTTCCCAATCTCCATTCCAGGATAACCGCCATGTGTTGCGTAATAGACACCATGTGGGTGGGAACCGAAGAAGGGCCAACTCTTGCTCTTCGACGCGCACTCACCAAAACGACATCTTGTCTCGCACACACTGGCTCTGCTCCCGGACCAGTCAATCACCAATATCACCCCCATCACCACTCTGCGACAGTGTTCTGGTCACCCGTAGCGACGGTTGCGTACTCCTCTTTGACGAGGTCACGCAGGAACACAAACTCCCAGACGACTCGCACTACGACCAACCGGTTAAACGGGACGCAGCTGCCCCGTCCGATCGGTGTTTCGGACGCCCGAAAACTGCCATCTTTGGCACGGCGCATGTTGTGAGTGGAAACCAGGAGAACAGAGGACCGTGAGGACTGTCTGGTGTGGCAGCAGTTTTGAAATGGCTCTGCTGATAGACATTCAGCCAACTGGACTGGGGTACTGCCGCAAGTGCCACTGTCGACCTCGTAATGACATCACCGCCAAGGATCATGTGACTGATTTAACCCTGATGGAACGGGGGGAGCAGGAGGAGGGGGGCGTGGTATGGATGTTGACTAGACCTCATAACTGTGTGTATTGTTGGTGTAGTGTCTCTGAGAGACTTGTCATGAAGGTGGAATGCAGCGTCTACTCATCTTCACCTGGTGAGTGAGAGAGTGAGAGCTGGAGTCCTAATGTGTATTGTTTAGAGATGTGTATACACTTACTGTGCAGTGTGGACATTATTGCACACGGAAATTTGGTGTTAGTTTGTATTATAACTCAGAAGAAGTCACCCCCCACCCCCAAATGCTTGCATTTGAATGAATAAATGGTGCATAGCAGAGGAATGTTTTGGGGGTGCTTGTGCAATGACACCTGTGTACTAGGGATTAATCCCAGCAGCGTGTCTGCTCTACCTCCAGCTGCCAGTCTTTGAAATACACAAAAACAAGACTTTCTTCTCTCTCTCTCTCTCTCTTTCTCTCTCTACAGTTACATCCATATGTTGCGTGAGGGACATTCTCCACCTGGCTCTACACAACGGTGAAATACTTCAACTCCACACGTCTCACGATCAGATAGACTCCGTGTCTCGTCTCCGCGGCCACGTCAAATCCATCCACTCCCTCCTCACCCTCGGAGCTCGCGTCCTCCCGCGCCACTGGCGACCTAGTATCCTCGGTCGCAGTAACGTCATGGACTATCTACTGGAGCTTCTCGGGGAAGACGATATTCAGGATATCACTGACTCCATGGTGGGCCGACAGACAAGACTCCTGGTCAGCGTGGGGAAAGGATTCTACGGAATAGCTGGGAAAGTGGTGGAAGCTCTCATGTCCCCGAGTGACATTAGCGACAATTTCCTGCTCCTCTGGTCCCTGTAGACTGGAAATGTGGCTAGGCATTTTGCTTGTCCGTTTGTTTATGTTCTTGTTCAGAGATTTTCAACGTATGTAATTATACCAAACGGCAACGTTTCGTGCGCGCGTGCACGCGTTTACGTGTGCGAGCGACGCGCGAGACGCCGTTTCTGCGCACGCGCACGCGTGGCGTCGGCTTAGCGTCGAGCGTCCTTTCTCCTGGAGACGCCGTAACCTGTGGTTTCTGAGCGCCTCTACCTTCCCTGGAGCAGTTTTGTATATAGCCATGCCTACCAGCAGCACCACTTGTAGCGCCGCTGCTCCGCCGACGACCGAGGGGAACACGACCCACCCCCCTAGCGGCAAGGGACCTGCGGCCACGCCTCCAGCCACGCCCTCTTCCCCGAGCGGAGGCAGCGGCACAGGCGCCTCGTTCAAGACCATCCTGAACTCCCGCGGCTACGTCCTGGGGAAGACTCTTGGGACGGGCACTTACGGGAAAGTGAAGTACGCTCATTCCCTGAGACTCAAACACCCGGTGGCCGTGAAGATCGTCAGCAGAAAGGTGGCCAAAGATGTCCACCTCAAGTTTCTCCCGCGGGAGCTGGACGCTCTCCGCTGCCTGCGCCACAGGAACATAATCCAGCTGGTCGACGTTCTGGAGACCCAAGAGCACATGTACATCATCATGGAGCTGGCCGAGGGCGGTGACTTGCTCGATTACATCAACAAGAAACGGTTCCTCGCGGAGGAAGACGCGAAGGGACTGTTTCACGACTTGGTGGACGGACTAGTGGAGTGCCACCGACTGCGTTTCGTGCACAGAGACCTCAAGTGCGAAAACATGCTCCTGAGCCGGAACCTTCGGCTCAAGATTTCCGACTTCGGGTTCGCCCGACGCTTCACCGAGTCGCAAAAGCTGCAGACGTACTGCGGATCGTACGCGTACGCTGCGCCCGAGATCATAATCGGGGAGCCGTATCTCGGACCCACGGCCGACATCTGGAGCATCGGCGTCATCCTCTACGCCATGGTCTGCGGGAAACTTCCGTTCAAGGACAAGGACGCTAAATCCCTTCTGTCTGACGTGGCAAGCAAGCTACACTTCCCCAGTCGAATCAACGATCAGTGCCGGGACTTGATAAAGGGGATCTTGAGATTCAGCCCCCAAGACCGGCTCACTCTGGAGGAGATAAAGTCTCATCCGTGGATGGTTGTGCGTCCCATATCCACCCCGAGTTTAACCCCTGAGCTCCCGGTCGATCATCTCCCTCCCCCGCTGCCTCCTCAAACCTACAAGCAACGGAGCGCTGACGAATCGCGACCTACTACACCTCTCGAGTTTGTGGAGAGCGAGACGACCCTCCCTCCTCCCATTCCTCCTCGCAGCAACAAGCCTTCTCCTCCCACTCACCAGTCCGTCGGCTCCCAGACAATTCCTACCACCAGCTAAGAAGATGAGAGGAAAGGGAACACTTTTTGTCTCCGACTTGGACCTCATTTTTGCATTGGCATTTTTACCCAACGATCACTTTTTATACCTTCACCACTTTGTAAATATGAGTCCAGATTTCACAACAAAATTGCTGATTTATTTTCGTGCGCAATTAGTATTCATGCAAACCAAAAACACTAAAGTTGACTAGTTTTCATGATCAGTCTTGCATTAGCACACATTTAATGTGGATGCCTATATTAAAGCTTGTTCGACTGGCACATGTGCTCTGAATAAAAAAATTGGTGTGTTAAACACGAATAAGTTACAGCATAACATACAGGATGCACATAATACAGATTGGATGTGGAATATACATGTGAGTGTGGTTTATGGTTGCACTAGACAACGATAGTTTTCAGTTCAATCTTCTCTTCCTCGGTCCAGTCCAGCCGTATATTATCAATGATGTCATCCTCACTGTCCATGACATCATCAGGTTCGGCGGTGGCACAGACGGTAAAGTCGAGGGGGAGGTTGTAGTCACTGAAGAGAGAGTCAATATTATCGGCACTAGCTGGGTCGAGGTGTGAGAGGGAAGAGGGAGAGAAGACATCTCCCGCTTGTGCCTCTGACTGATGAAGACTGCTAGTAGAGAAGTGTGTGTCTGGAGGAGAATTAGAAGACTGGGTGAAGGGGTGGGGGGGAGGTAGCTGCTCGCGTTCAGGGTGTCCTCCGTCAATTATCGATCCCTGGTACAGGGAGGAGACTCCATCGACTGGTGCTGGGAGAAATCTCCGCTGGTAGTGTGTGTCCACATCACAGACGACGGAAATGTTGTAGGGAGCTGGTTGATGAGGAATAGTTGATTCTGGCCACACTACTTCTCCTGGGTGTTCAGCTGCAGGAAGATGAGTAGTGTCGTTGATGTTAATATTCTCCGCCCAGTTGAATCCATCGTCAATCCATTCGTTGTTCATTTGGTGGTGATGATTTGCAGTAAACCGAGCCTCTTGTGTCGGAGAGAAGTCGAAATCTTCGTCTGATTGGTCGCTGATGAGAGGGTCGACCTCTGAGGTGTAGCGATAGTAGTCTGGGTAAGTCATGGTGACTTCTGGGAGACCGGGGATGTGGGGGAAGAGGGAGGGGAGACAGTGGGGAGGGGAGGGAGTGTGGACTGCTTGCCAACTCCTTGTCTTGCAATCTGTGAGGAGATAAGGGAATAGTAGGTCAATAATAGCTCTAAAATTCCAGTATTTAGCTACAGAAAATTAACAATCCTTATCTCTACTGCCCCTATAAATGTTGTCAATGCTTCTTTCTCCGTTTACAGATTCTTTACATTACAGTAAGCTATAATATACGGCATAAAATTGCAAACGTACCTGCAGCGTCGCAGTTGTCAGCCGAGAGGAGAGGAGAGGGCGGCTCGCTGCCGCTGCCGTCCGCCACGAGGCGACGTCGCTTGGCCGTAGAGCCCTCCAAGGCCTTCTGGAAGTGCTGCGCCACCTCGCTCTCCAGGTCGCTGTACCAAGTCATGATCCGTTTGGCCATCTCGAGTCGGTTCCTTCGCTCCACGGCTTGTCTATTCAAATACTCTTGCCAGATAGCTCTCGCACGATGGGGCGGGATGTAGAACTGCATCTTTATATAGCGCGGGTCGAGCTGGTCTCAGAGAGATGAAGGGCCTGGTTGGCCGGGGACGAGTGTAGCTAGTCGGTGCGGAGCAACTGAGGGAGTGGAGGAGACCCGCGAGCGATCGTACGGCGTGTACAGTAGAGGAAGATCGGCCCGCGTGTTCACTGTACGGCGGAGCTGTGTCGCAGTGGTACAGTCGGAGGGAGGGAGAGAGGAGCTGTTCCGAACTGGGCCAGAGGTACGACTGAGTTGGTCCACTGTTCAGCCGGAGTATTGTTTCAGGTTGCAGGCTCTATCTGGGACAGGGTTGCGCTGACATCAAACGATAAAAGGAGCCGCTGGTCCTTCATTGCGTCCCGCGAAGATCCCGGGGAAGAGTTACTAGCCGTACGGCGGCTGCAGGTTCCTTCTTTCGACCTGTACCAGGAAGGATCGGCGAATAAAATCGAGAGGAGCCGAAGAGAAGAAGCTCTAATGGCCTGCCAGCTGTTTGTCAGCTGGTGGCGGCGCGCGCACAAGGGCGGCCGCCCAGATATTCTGCTGAATCAGCAATAAAAAGCACAGAGTGTGCGCTATTTGGAAACTGGGGCTGTGTGTTTTTCGTGTTCCTTCCTGGCGCCTTTAGTCTGAGCACACCGAGTTTCTGGCTCGGAGACGTAATGAAATAAGTAAAACACGTAAGTTGAACTTTCTGTACGTTTTAATGGAACTACAGGTTGATTTTGAGCGCGTATATACGTATCATTTTCCAGAGGTAAACATTTCCCGTCATGTCACGTGAGACGAGGAGAACTGTTCTCTATGACGCTCACAAGAAGCCAGTGGTGAGTCCATAAAATCACCTTTTCCACCAAAAATTCACACACCTCAAAAATGTCCCCTGTACATTGCGATCAGTTTCTCAATGTTCTTACAAATGTGGATATGCTCATTGCCGTTACAAACTTACCACACTACGTACACTTGGTATGCAGGTAGAGTACTGAGGTAGTTTGGTCTATAGACTGTTACCGAACTCTGTTCATATGTACACTAGCCGAAGGGGGACGATATAAAAGAAATTTTGAAAGGAATCAAGCTATTTTGATGATTGTTAACTATCTTCCATGTGTGTTGCCTTTTCTCCCTTCCTTTTAAACTCCTCTGTGGCTGTGTGTCTTTCGTTTTCAACTGTTGTACACACGTATTGTCTGCAGGAGCTGGACCGGTCGAAACTACCGAGCTTCAGGAAAGTCTCATGCCATTCACTCAGCGATGACAGCGTCTCCATCACCGCGGTGACGACGAAAAACAACTCCGCCCACTCGCACTCGGAGAGAGAAGGCGTGTTTGAGAGGGTTTGTAATCGACATTCCTCAAATTTCTTACGACAGCTCCCTACCTTCAACATCGAGAACATCTCGAGGAGGGAGGAGAAGAGGAGGAGGAGAAGAGAGGGGAGGAGATAGAGGAGGAGAAGAGAGAGGAAGAGATAAAAGAGGAGGGGGAGGTGGGAAGAAGAGACCTATGACCAGAGGTCCTCTCCACCCAGCCAAGAGAGGGAGAGCTGCCTGCACCAACTCCAGAAACAATGCCGCCTCTGTCGTGTCTGATTTCGACAGTCTCATGTTCGACTACCGACGGACAAAGCCGGCCACGCCCAATTCAGCCCCGCTCGGGACCAGCCGAGTGGGCGGAGACTCAGTCAAAGAGGTTCTCGAGATCCCAGACTCTCCTCCTCTTCCTCCTCATGCTGCAGAGTTTAGTAAAGAGGTGGCTCTGGTCCACTCACCCACACCGAGTTCTTCCTCGTCGACCAATGAACTCACTGCTATTCAATTAACGAGTCAACTACACGAAGACACGCCCCCCTCCTCCCTCCCTTCCCCCTCTCTCCCCGAGCCTCTCACCACTCGCTACACTTCAGCACAGGTCGTAAGCTCCACCCACAGTCTCGCTCCAGACGAGGCAATCTCTCAGGGTCGTCACCCGAAACGGGCACAGTGGAGTGAAGAAGATGTGAATAGAATCGATTTGGACGGAGATGAAGACTGTTTGATCACAGAACACACAACCACTTCGCGTTATTTTGGAGACAGTAAAACCGGACAAGGAGTAAAATATCCTCTTTTACTTCCCCCCTCTTCTCCGTCCACCGCAGCCAACATTCCGACAGACTCACTGGCTTCAGCTGAGGCAGAGCTTCTTCAGTTCAAGAAGACATCGGCTAATTTCAGCAGGGTCGCTAGCAATCTCCCCCAGGTTGCCTCGAGCCCTCACTCCTCCGTCTCTAACTCCACACTCCCTCAGCCCCCAGCACTCAGACAATCAATGTTTCAAGCCCTCGAGGATTTCAACAATAGCAACACAGGTCATAGTTCAGATGTGGGAGGAGATAATTACCGTGGTAATGTCAGGGTCCCCGCAATTATTGTTCCAACATCTTCTACTGTCGCTCCACGGCTCACGAACCCAGAGCTAGATGGAGATGGAGAGGGAGAAGGAGATGTGGTTATTTCATCAACTACCAGGAATATGAGATGGGCTGAGAGAAGAGGAGGGGGGAGAGGGAGAAGTGTATTTGATGTTCTTGAAAAGAACAGCTCGTGTGAGAGCAATCACACTAACACCAGTTCTTTCTATGGAGGAGGTATATATGAAAAACAATTACATTTTCAAAGTTTTTTATACTGAAATGGGCACAGTATTACTGGCATGGTTCTTTCCAAAAGCAACAGAAAACCCTCTTAGGTCTGTACAGTGCACCATTCTAAGGATTATGAGTAGAAATTATTAAACAGAGGATTATAGTGTTTTTGCCACAAACATCTTCTGTGAGAGATCAGCACGGGTTCACTGGCACCATGTTGTGTGTGTGTGTGTGTGTGTGTGTGTGTGTAGGTGGTGTGGCTCCCAGCTATGGTCGACAACAGTTGATGGCTGCCAGAGAGAGCAACAACAAGAAGAAGAGACTGTCTCTCCATCACACGCTGCGAGGGAGAGTGGTGAGGAGGGTGTGGGGAGGGAGGGAGGGAGGAAGAGAGGAATTTACAATGTTTATTCCCACCCACAGCCTCCACTGATCAAGGCATCACCCCACACCGTCAGACACCTGGACTGTAAGTCTTCTACTCTGTGCCATCTTTTAATGAACCAGTCTTCTCATAAAAATTCACGCACAAACGTATAAATACAACACATTTAGTACATTTTTGGCGAGCAGTGCTCATAATCTTTGAGCCAATCTACATTGTGTGTAGGTGTGGTTTGCACGTGCATTTTGTCCAAGTGTGCCTAGACAGGTTCGGAAATTCAGATGACCTGCTAAATAGGTTTGCTTTAATAGATGATTTCGTGTAATAATGTAAAATATCTTTTTACTTTTCCAATATGTTATGGACATAGTCTTACTCTGTCGTTGTTTCTGTTGTCATGATATGTTTCTCCCTCCCTCTGGTAGTTACTTCTACTGGCAAGACGCTGATGTCACTACAGAAGAAGGCACAAGAGACTGCGCAATCCTCGACGACCCAGGTCGGACAATCGTGCTACGGGTCGACCCATCTGTCGATGGTGGAGGAGACCTGTGTGGATGTTGGGGCAGTCAGAGTTGGGACTCTGGAGGAGATCCCTGTCTCTCAGTGTCTGGTACGTCTTACAGTCATATTTTGTCTTTGGAGTGGCAAAATTACAGGGTAATGTGTTTTTCGTTCCTTTTCAAGTGGATTTCCAAAAAATAATGTATTCAACTTGTCCCCCCTAACACACCAAGGTATATATTATATATCTATATATATATATATATTATGTATATATATATATATATTATATGCAGCCCCATTCCCCCTGGTGATAAAAACTCCCTGCACTTAATAATTGGTGACAAATGGTCTGTTTTTTGTGTGTACGTATAGATGAGTTCAGGTGAGATCTGCATGAAATTGGTTGCCAAGGATACACCTCTCAAGTACAACGTTTATTTCAGCGACATCAGCGAGTGGAAGGTATGCGCTAATTACGTCGTCCTAATTAATACCAATGATGTCATTATGACATCATCTCTCAGATGAACCTGAGTGAAAGTCCCAGATGTATAATGATGAAGCTCCACCCACTGGTGGCTAGGAGACTGGCAAACAAGTTGAGGTCACAGTTCAAATTGAGCAACTGCAGGTTCCTGAACGTGGAGGCCCAACGTGAGTTGACCACACCCCCTCGTTTGGGAATTGCCCCTGTAGTACAGTATTCCGTGCAGCATATACATAGTGTTGTGTACGCCTATTGTACCTATAAGATTAATGCTTCTCTCTCACAATTGGACATTATGTAGCTATATATAGAGTGGTTCATTTCTGTCTCCATTCCAGACCGGTGGTATTGGTACTGGGTCCTGAGAATAGAGAGCCACCTTAGCCCAGATACAGTGACCCAAATAAACCAGGTAAGACCCAGTGGCATATCGGGATGTCCAATCCGTGGATTGCGTGGTCTCCTCCATCCCACAGTGGGTCGATAATCTGGAGAGTCGAGCTGGGGAGAGAAAGGTCAAAGTCGAGCGAGAAATGAGGTACTATGTACAAATTTTTTAACCTACTATATAGAATTGTCGACCCCTTCCCTCATAAAAATCTGACCCCCTTACCTCGTAAATTTCTGCCCCCCCTGTATCTCAGTGTTGATGAAGTGGAAGAGTTCTACTCAGAGCTGGACAGTCGGGAGACAGTCTCTCTCTTCTCCTGCACACCAACTGAGGACTACGAACCTTCCTCCAGCCTCAGAGGTCAGCCCATGTAGACCACCACGATGATTAAACAGCACGCAACTAATTGAAGAGAGAGAAGACAGAGAAAGGAGGGCTATAGGGGATTACTGCTTATAAAACACTGTACATAAGGCTTAAACTTTTGTTGTATGTAAAATGGGATGTGGTGGTGTTTTAATTTTATTTCTCTTTCACTCCTTAGCTATGTATATACTTAAGTTTGGGCCAAGTTTATGAAGATGGGGGTGGCTAGGTTGCATTATTTTAGCAAGCATGGCCTAAATGGTTACATTATTTTAGCAAGCATGGCCTAAATGGTTACATTATTTTAGCAAGCATGGCCTAAATGGTTGCATTATTTTAGCAAGCATGTGTAAAAGACGGGTTATATGAAATCTCACTGCCATTTCAAGACATTCCGATGGGTGATTTCGTGCGGCGGTCAACGAGGATTCAGAACAAGGACGGCGAGAGAGGGAAGGAGAGGGAGAGAGTGATGAAGATTTTGAACGAGGAGGGAGAGGAGGAAGAGGATGGAGCTGTCTCATATATCCCTAAAGGAGATCCTAAGAAAATGTAATCTGAAACCATACAATATAGTAGCCGAATGTATTTTCTAGTGGTTTTAGTTGTCCGCCTACAGCCGCCTTATATGGATGTGCTGTAAGATGCAACCATGCACATAATATATATATATATATAATGGTTGGATGTGCATGGTTGGATTATTATATATTTTATATATAGCATGAGAATACTGAAGTAATGCACTACACTGAAGAAGGATGTTGCTCTCCACATGAACTGTAGTTCAGGGAAGAATGGTCCGTTGAAGTGACCCTTTTTGCAGTCAGCTTTTGCCAATACAACCACCTTTTCATTGATCTCTCAATATCTCCCTTCTCCTGCCTTCCTCCAGCATACTGACGTACAAACCAGAAGGATCACGAGTCAACATTGAGATATCTGAGATGGATTTGGATTGTCTCGAGCGAGGCGTCTACCTCAACGATAGAGTCATCGACTTCTACCTCATGTACGTTCGTATGCAGGGGATTTATTCAGTGAGGTAATAAGGAGAGTGCGGCATTGACGTCATACACCGCATGAGTTTAACGATTTGTTAGTGAGGTAATAATAAGGAGACTTTAGTTAGTGCAACGTACTGTGTGACGTATAGAGACTAAATACTGTGCATTTGTCACCTCATATATACGTTGAGTAAAGGATGGAGGAGCGAATATAACCCTTCCACCTTCCTGCGTTAGCAAGTTTCTTTAACAAACCACCACAGGTATCTATGGTACGACGAGCTGGGAGCAGGGCTGAGAGACAGAGTCCACATCTTCAGCTCTTTCTTCCACCAGAGGCTGATGGACTCCACCAGAGATCTGACTGGAACCAAGGAACTGAGGTATTATACCACCTCATACAAACCTCTTCAGCTCCTGCTTGTTATCTGGAGCAAGTTTCTTTAACAAAACACCCCAGTGCTTATGAGAGTCAGTTTTGACACTTTCAATTTACGCCCCCTTTTATTTGTTGCTATTTAGAGTAAGTTGGTTGTGTAATAATGTGCCCCCTCTTGCAGTGTTGCTAAAAGGCTCCACGATCGAGTCAAGTCTTGGACAAGACACGTTGACCTGTTCTCTAAGGATTACATCATCCTACCAGTCTGTGTCAGGTGAGAGCAAAACAGGGAGAGGGAAATAAACTTTAATGTTTAAATAGGTACCTCTCTCTCTCTCTCATCTCGAAAACTGACAAAATCTCACCTGCCTTTAATAATCCCTTACCTGTCCCTTAATAGATTTATGTTTAATGTATAGGCTATAGCTGTTGTGTAAATAACTGTGTGAGAGTGTGGCAGAGTATCTGGTGTCCCTCATTTCGCAGTTCTCACTGGTTCTTAGCTCTCATCTGTCACCCTGGCCAGTACAAACCGCCTCCTCCCCCCACGACAAGGAGAAGAAGAAAACAACGACGTCCGAGGCAAAAGGTGTTGTGCAGTACCAGATCGCGAGCGGCGAAGAAGGAAGAGGAGAAGAAGGAGGAGGAGGGTGGGAGGGTGACAGCTGCCACGGGGATAGAGCTGATCAGCATCAGCTATAGTCAGGATGATGAGGAAGAGGAGGAGGGAGAGGAGGGAGAGGGAAAGAATGACGAAGAAGATGAAGAAAGTCCTCTTCGGCAAGACAGTGACAGCAGCAACGGTACATACACATTGCATAGCTCCCGCTCGCCAAAAATACTTAGCGTTTTTCCAGTATATTATTATAGTATAATATCTTATTTGTTACCGCGTGGTAAATATTTGGGCAGGCTAAAAACAGGGGTTTACAATTGAAGCACAAGTTCATTCATTCATCTGTTTGTGGTGCTCCAGGTGGAGCTGATGTGGCGGAGGATGTTGGGATGAATATTCACCTGACCAGTTGTGAGGAAGATGAAACACTAGTAATTACAGGAGGAGAGGGAGAAGGGGGACAAGGAGAGAGAGATGGAGAGGGAGAGGGAGAAGAAATGGTCTTGGAAATGGAGGAAGGCGACCAGAAAGAGGAAGAAACAAACTCCATCAGCGAAGAGACCCTGGAAGGAGATGGAGAGAAAGAGAAAACGGAGCGAGAGGAAAACAAGTATGTTTTAAGAGTTGAGGACCCACTGACTGTGATGACTGATGATGTAATGGTATCAACAGGCCCTGTATCATGATCCTTGATTCTCTGGAGATCCGTCGCGGAGCCATCGTGACCAGGATTAACAAGTCAGACTCCTGTTTTGAGAAATAAACAACCGTTACTCCCCACCCCTCCCCCTCTCTCTCCTCTGTCTTTCTCTCTCTTCCTCTTTCCTTCTCTCTCTCTCTCCCTTCCCTCCTATTGACTTCCTCTCTATATAGCTACCTCACTGAGGAGTGGGAGGTAAAGAAGAAAGATTGCTCTCCCGTCAAGTTCAAACTAAAGGCTGTCCACCCAAAAGTAAGCCACAACATAATACACGCTGAGGACATT